GAAATCTCTTTACCTCCTGGTACAGGGACACCTTCACATGGGAGATTGATTTTCTTTCCAGGGGGACAGAGGAGGGTCTAAGTGTCCTCATTGCATAGGCTGTCTCTTAAGTAACTTTTATTTAAAATGATCTGTATGTCAAAGTGGCAGATTTGGGGCAGCCTGCCCTTGGCCCGCACACCATCCCGTGACACTCCCACATCCTAAAGAACTTACATTCTGTAGATTATTATTTACTCTTTGGAATGTAGAAATGTTTTTATTTTTTAAAGATTTTATTTTTAAGTAATCTCCACACCCAACATTGGGCCCGAATTCACAACCCCAAGATCAAGAGTTGCACTCTCCAGTCCCAGCTTACCGCCCGCAGCTGCACAGAGAACTACACCAACTGATCATGATTGAAGACAATAAGGAAAATAAAGACCATTTCTGAGAAAGAGGAAGAGCAACTTTCATTTTTTCCTTGAAGAATGAATTTGGTGGACTTATAAAAGCATTGAAAATCTTCCAGGAGAAGCATGTAAACCTGTTACATATTGAGTCCCAAAAATCAAAGAGAAGAAACTCAGAATTTGAGATTTTTGTTGACTGTGATATCAACAGAGAACAATTGTAATTAATAGTTTCTATTTCTGGAGAAGTCAGGGGATAATTGGACTCCATTTCAGTTCGAATTTCCCAAATGTAATGGATTCAGCTGGACCCCAGAAGGGTCAGGTGCCTCCACGGAACTGAGTGCATGGCATCCTGCACTGCCCCCACCTCCCGCAGGGGGCGCCCCAGTCCCGCCCCGCGACCCGTGCGGGGCATGCGCGCTCAGCCCTCCTCCTCCGGGGCGAGGACAGGTGTTCCAAGGCCTCAGGACCGACCCACTGTGCTGACGCCCAGGCTTCTGGAGGACTTGGGGCCTCAGCCACAGTCAGGGGCCGGCCCCCTCAGGACCCGCTGTGGAGACTTCGGGAGGACGTGGGTCCGCGTCCACACTGACGGGAGCCGGCCTCCTCAGGACCCGCTGTGGAGACTTCGGGTGGACGTGGGGCAGTGTCCACACTGACGGTAGCCAGCCTCCTCAGGACCCGCTGTGGGGACTTCGGGAGGACGTGGGGTCGCGTCCACGCTGACGGGCTCCGGGTCTCCTCAGGACTCGCCGAGGGAGGAGAAGGTGAGGAGAAGCCGCCTGAGCGGGGACTGCAGAGGGGGTGCGAGCTCGCAGGACCCCGCGGAGGAAGGGCGCGCTGTGTAGACGCCGGGGCTTTGTGCGCGGTGACTCGGGGTCCCCCGCGGTGCTGTGCGCGGGGCTGTCGGTCTCCCCTTCCTGGGCTCGGATCCGCTCGGTGGTCCCGGGGTCTGTGTTCACGCGCCCCTCGGATTCGGTTCCGGGGCTCCTCGGCCAGGCTGCGGTCAGGCAGCGGACCCCCGCCGCGGCGCTCGCGCTCCCCGGGCCTCGGCCCTGCGGGATCCTCCCCGTGGCCGCACCGTCGGGATCGGGGTGGGGCTCCGCCTCCGTCACGAAGGTTGGCGTCTCCACTTCTCCGGGCCGTGCTGACGTGGTTGTTTGAAGAGGAACCGACTCTGCGGGAAACCCGTCACCGCAGAGCAGACCCTCCCTCTCCACACTCAGACCCCAGCCGGCGTCTCCTCACCGCACGCGGGGTGCTTCAGGGCGTGTTACCCCCGACGGGGACACTGTCCCGCGGAACCACCATAGAACCCTAAGTGAGGACGTCATCCCGGTGCCCACGTTATAACCCAGGCCATGGGCCCACTTCCCCTGCCGCCACCTGCCCCACGGTCTGAAGCGTCCTTTCCTTTCGGATCCAGTTCTTTCTGGAACTGCTCCCGACACGCTGCCTTATTTGGGTGACCTTGGTGGATGTAAAGAGCGCGATGGTTCCAGTCTGGGTGGACGGTCGTGGCTTGTAATGGGGGCTGTTTTCAGTGTCCGTCCCCGTCGTGACCTGCATCGGTCCCTCATTCCCGTTTTCACTGGGACTAAACATAGTCACAGTTACCCCTCAAAACGTGTCAGGTGTACAGTTCTCGGCCTTAGCTGAGTTCCCACGGTGGCACGTCATTCTCCAGAACTTCTTCCTTCTCCCCGAGGGCCACTCTGTATGCGGGAGACACCAGCTCCCCGTCCCCCTTCCCCTCGGCCCCTGCAGCCACATTCTACTGTGTGTCTCAGGACACTTCATGTAAGTGGGACCACAGGGCGTCTGTCCTTCTGTGACTGGCTGATGTCACTCAGTGTGATGACTTCCAGCTTCATGCGTGTTGTCGCCTGTGTCAGAGCCCCCTTCGTTTTTAAGGCTGAATCGTGTTCCGTGGTGTGTACACCACGTTTTGTTTATCCATTCGTCTGTCAGTGGACACTTGGGTTGCTTCCCCCTTTTGGCTGTAGTGAAAAATGCTGCTTTGAATAAGGGTACTTCTCCTTTCAATTTTGGGGGTATGTATCTAGGAGTATAATTGTTGAACCATATGGTCATTCTACTTTGATCTATTTGCCTAAATGCCAAAATATTTTATACGTAGACTGCACCATTTTTCACAATCAAGGTGTAAGGGTTTCCGTTTCTCAACATCCTTTCCAAAATTTGTTATTTTACTTTTCTTGATTATAGTGATTCCGTTGTGTGTAAAAGGACATCTAACTGATTTAAATCTTCATTTCCATAAAGACTAAGGATGTTTAACATCTATTCATATGCTATTCACCATTTGTATGATTTCTTTGGAGAAAGGTCTATCCAAGTCTTTTGTCTATTTTATAAAATGGGTTGTCTTTTTGCTGAGGAGTTGTAAATGCTCTTTACATATTCTGGGCAACAGACTCTTATTAGATACATAATGTACACATATTTTCTTCCACTCAGCGGGCTATCTGTTCACTTTCCAGATAGTATCTTATGATGTACAAAGATTTTTATTTTTATTTTTTTACATTTCTTTATTAAGAGTGAGTGAGTGTGCGAGTGGTCAGGGGCAGAGGGAGAAGGAGAGAGAATCTTAAGCAGGCCCCACACTCAGTGTGGAGCCTGACGTGGGCTCGATCTCATGACCCCGAGATCATGATCTGAGTCAAAATTAAGAGTCGGACGCTTAACCAACTGAGCCACCCAGGCACCCAGAACAGATTTTTAATTTTGAAGATATTATTTTATCTATTTTTTCTTTGCTTTCTTACGCTTTGGTGTCAGATCTAATAGCATTGCTAGATCCAAGGTTATGAAGATTTATCCCCATTTATTTCTTCTAGAGTTTATACTGTTACCTCTTACATTTAAGCCTTTAATGTATTTTGAGTTAATGTTTATATGTGGTGTGAGGTAAGGGTCCAGTTTCATTCCTCTGTACATGGATAGCTAATTGTCTAGCACCCTTTGTTGAAAAGACCATTCTCTCCCCCAGTGTAATGTTGTCCACCCTTGTGAAAATTCAGTGGACCATAGATGAAGGCGTTTATTTCTGGGCTCTCAGTTAAATCCCACTGATCTGTATGCATATCTTTTTTTAAAAAAAATATTTTTTAAAATGTTTTAAATTTAAATTCAATTAACGTATAATGTATTATTTGTTTCAGGGTGAATTCATAACTTTTTGACAGTATCAAATGTTTTATTTACTGTTGCTTTGTATTAATATTTGAACTTTGGAAGAATGACCTTTCATCTTTGATTTTCTTTTTCAAGATTGTTTTGACTCTTTTGTGGTCCCTTGAAATTCCATATGACTCTTAGGATTAGCTTGTGCAGTTCTTTCCAAAGGCCTTTGTGAATTTTCTTGGGATCACATTGAATTTCCACATTGCATTGTGTACTATTGCCATCTTATCGATAGTATGTCTTTTCATCACCGTGGGGTCCTCAGATTTATTTAGGTTTCCCTTTCTTTCAGCAATGTTTTGTAATTTTCAGCGTACAAGACTTGCACCTTGATTACATCTATTCCTAAGTATTTTGTCAATGTTAATGTTCCCTAAAATGGAATTGTTTTCTTAAATTATTTTTTGGATGATTCATGGCTAAAGTATACAAATAAGAGAGATTCTTGTGTATTGATATTAACTGGCTATAATCATTTGTTGATTGTTTAGGAAGCTCTGTCTATAAGATGATGTCATCTCTGGTCTCTGAATAGACCTAGTTCTACTGTTTTCTTCCACATGTGGATTTCTTGCCTTATCATTCTGGGTAGAACTTTCAGTATGATACTGAGCAATGAGTGAAAGCCAGCATGATGGACTTGTTTTTGATTTCAGAGTAGAGCTGTCAGTCCTCAAAATTGAGCATGATGTTTGATTAGAGTTACGGTTGGGTTTAGGGTTAAGGGTTAGGGTTAGGGTAGGTGAGCCTGTGACCCATGAAGCCCAACAGTCAGCATGCTAGAGCCAGGAACACTCCCCCTGTGCTGAGCTCCCTGGCAAACCCTGCACGTCCCATCCCCTGGCTGACCCCCTGCAGGTTCTGTCCCCACCTGCCATGAGTTGAGCAGCTTTGGGCACAGCCCTTGTTTCTATGCCCTACAGACTGGGTAGAATCAGCTGCATGGGTTTCTAGCCTCTAAGCCTCAGGCTCCCCTTTCTAAGATGGGGTCCTGAGGGCTCCCATCTCTGGGAGCCGAAGGTAGGGAGGCCCCACCAGCAGACGCGCTCAGGCCAGGCCAGGAGGGTGGCTGTTGCTTAAAGCAGCCCAGGGCCTGCCCCTTTGAAGAAAGTGCACACGTTCATGGCCCAAGTTTTGGGGTCCTGCCGCCAGCCTCTGGCAGTGACCCTCCTCCAGCCCTGTCAACTGTCGCTGTGGATACATGGTCTTCCTGGAGATGTTCCTGCAGACAGTTGAGAAGCAGTTCATGGTGGGACACTGGGTCACCTACTACGTTTTCACCAATCAGTTGCCCACTGGGCCCCATGTGCCCCTCTGGGAAGGCCAGACGGTGGTGGTCCTCGAGGTTCCCGGCACCCCGCGCTGGGAGGACGTGTCCATGCAGAGCACGTGATGACCCGCCGCTTCTATAAGCAGCTCTTCCTGTCATCGCGCGCTGAAATAAAGTTCTCAGACACCAATCTGAGCGGCCATGCAGGGCTGCTTCTGTAAGTAGGGCAGCAGCAGCTGGGTTCTGCACATCACTTTTACATCATTTTTTATCAGAAAAGCTAAGGCAGACGCCTCAAAGCGTGGGAAAGGAGGACAAAGGGATGGCAAGTATCCTGAAGCTGTGAAGCAGGCCTGCACTCTCTCATACACGCAGGCACGCAGGGAGGCCGTCATGGGATCGGGGAATAGCGGGATGTTTGTGCTAGCAAACGCCAGGTGCAGGAAGAGGGGCACGGAGGGTTACATTCTTTCCTGGCTCCTAACCTAGGCCCTGCCCTGGGGATCATGGGATCCTACTCCTACCGGGCCATTGTTTTCAGTGGCCTGAGAACAGGAATGCTGCTGACGTTTCAGCTGCTTCCACAATCACTCCTTAGGGCTGACAGTCTATTTTCTAAGATTAACTCCACAATTCCTCTGTGAGGTGGACTACCTGTTGTGCACAGATGTGGACATGAAGTTCCACGACTATGTGAGTATGGAGATCCTGTCTCCCCACTTCGGCACCCTGCACCCCGGTTTCTACCAGGCAGCCCACAGGAATTCAGCTACGAGCATTGGCCACAGTCCCAGGCGCACATTCCCCATCGGCAAGGGCCACTTTGACTACAAAGGGGCCTTTTCTGGGGGGTCGGTGGTAGAGGTTCACCAAATGACCTTGGCCTCTCACCAGACAATGGGGGTCAACCTGGTCAAAGGGATCGAGGCTGTGTGGCACGACGAAAGCCACCAGAACGGGTACCTGCTGGACCATAAGCCCGTTAAGGTGCTGTCCCCAGAGGAACTGTAACACCCACAGCTGCTGGCCTGCCCCCAGAGGACCTGTGGGACCCACAGCTGCTGGGCTGCCCCCCATCATGAAGAAGCTAAGATTCATGGCTGTGCCCAAGAATCACCAGGACGGCAGCAGTGGTTAGTACTTGAGGAGTCGTTTTGGTGCCCACTGGGTCTTTCACTTGAGTTAACAGATGAGCCCGAAGGAAGGGCATCATCGGTTAGGAAGTATAGACAAAAGTGAGAGTGGAGGTGGGCAAAGGCCTCTTTCAGAGAGCAGGGAAGCTCTGAGCTTCTTCTATACACCTTGCCCTGCTCCTTGCTTCCAGCTGCCTGGCCCTGAGTTCTGTCCTTTCAATGAATTGTTCATCTAGTAAGTAACATGTTTCTCTGAGTTCCATGAGCCACTGGAGCAGATTATTCAAACCTGAGAAGGTTCTGTGGACCTCCAATCTGTAGCCCATAGCTTGGAAACAGGGGTGACTTCTCTGCCCTGCCACTGGCTGACCACTAAGTTAACAGCACAGGGATTCAGTAGCCATACACACAGCAAAGAGTACAGACTTGACAAAGTTAGTTTAGAAAAGTCACTAAACCAACAGTTGCAACTACAACGAGCAGCAATCATGAAGCCTGCCGTGGGGAAGGTCTGATGTTCAGGATGCTTCCATTATAATAGTCATAATCACACCCTGGACTTGTCACTGGGTCCAAGTCCCCTGGCTGGGGGCCAAGTAGCTCCTACCTATTCCATGTGCCTCTCTCTGGCTTCTCCAGCAGTGCATTGCTCACTGTCCTGTGCTGCTTCCCAGTAGAGGTCAGTTTTCACCAAAGCCAGGAAGATGGGATGGGTTTTTCTGACTCCCCACCCTCCGCCCCACAGGGTTGCAAGAGAGGAAAAAGTTTTCCGCAACCCTCTTAAGGTCCCTGGCTGAGTCTGGAAATTGACAAAGACAGATGGACAGGAGAAAAGCAAGCAAAATGTATTGATTGTTTTGGTGGGAGCCTCACAAGACCATGACGACCAGCAGAGGTGACTGGAGTAGACAGCTCTTCTACCTTTTAGACAAAGAAGCAGTAAGTGTGTGAAGAATTGACAGACACAGGGGTTTGGACTAGGGCTCATAAACGGTAAAGAAGGTAACTAGGAAGATAATGGTTCGTTTAAACAGGTGTGTTCGTATAGACCCTGTGGTCCTAAATTCCTTGACTCTGGTGATAAGCACGTCATCCCTGTGGTCCGGGGAGATAAAGTTCCACATGGGAGTATTCGGACCTGCTTAAGGGAAGAAGGGCTGATGGCTGGGGGTCACAGAGACCTTCTTGCTTCTGCTCTATGCAAAAGTTCTTTTAGCTTCTATATTTAATTTGCCAAGGTGCCATATTTGTGTTAGTGTGTCCTGACCCTCACTGGCCTGGTGCTGTACTCTGTCTCCTAGTATCCAGGATATTGGGTGTGCTGCTGTGGAGACCTCCCAGCCCTGGGGTAGCCCCTTGTCCAGGGAGGTACCTGCCTCAAGGGGAGGGTTGCTAAGGGTGTCCACCCCTCCTCAGGGAGATTGGTTAGGAGAGTGCAGATCTTACTTCGAGAAACTGACTTACATTTCCTGAAAAGGTCTAACTGATAGTGGGATCATACAGGAGTTCTATTTTTAGTATTTTGGGGAAAATCCATCCTTTTCCCAGCATGGCTGTGCCAACCAAAGTCACTTCCGTATGATTTTTACCTATAAACCATAGATTTTTCAAGAATTCTCCAGCAGAGAACATGAGGAGAATATTTTCATGACCTTAGACAGGCAGAGATTTCCCAGGATGCAAAGTATACTGACCGTAGGAACAATCCGGTGACTTAGAAACTCTGAAATGAAGAACTTGTTTTCCTTCTTCCACTTCTGGCTAGTGTGCTGGTCTGTGGCTCGATCCCATCTCAGGCAGCTGGAAGGTTGACCTCCCAGGTCAGCTACCACTGAGATAGCTACTGTTTCTAGAAATATTCCGGGTGTGGCCAGGTTTCCCCTCCTGTGCACTGATGAAGTCGGCGACCTCTAACAGTGGAGCCATGGGTCCTCCAGGCATGGTCCCCCCCAATCGCCCAGTAAAGCCATCCCACTGAGGGCTTAGGGAGGCGGGAGCTGCCCCTAGGCAAAACTGGAGATTCTCAATGTCCCTACCTGGGCTTCAGATGCTCCTCAGTTCCTCCTGTGCCTCCGGTGTCTTCTTGGAACCCTGGCCTGTCAGTTTTCGGACAGTTGGCCCAGTGGTACCCTCACTTTCTGGGAGGGGGATTTGGTGGAATCTGCAGTGTGTCCTGCAGCCCCACCAGGATCACTTTTTGAAGGCACATCATCTGGGCCATCTGAGGAGCCAAGACTGTGGGTCTGTGGCCTGGAGGGATTCTGAGCAGCGCTGGTGGGATGGGAGGCCTGCAAAGCCCAGAGGCAGGTTTCCAGAAAGCCAACTGGGGTCCCCGGCATCCTACCATTTTCGAATCAAAGCCCTGAGATCTTTAAAATGCCAGCAATGGTACAGCATGTGCCACAAAAACAAATGTCCCTGTGCACCCAACACCACCTAAACTATTGGCCATTTCTTGTCACTTGAGCTGAGTGTAAATGATTGGGAGTTGGGGCTTGAGGGGGCGATCCTGGGCCAGACATTTTATTTGGGGGACAAAGGCCATCAGAGAAGCTTGTTCTGAGCCTCAGGTGAGGGTCTGTGTGGAGACCCCAGTTGCAGGCACTGCTGTCCACTGATGCCCCCTCAGCCTGCCCAAGTGCCCCTGCTGCTGAGGGAGCACCTGCCCCCTCCTCCCTGCCAGAGGGCTCTCTCCTGCACCAGGTGCCTCCTCCCCTGCCAGCCCCTGCCAGCCTGTAGCCTGGGAGGGTGGCTACCCAGAGTTCCTCCAGCTGCTGAGAGAACACCTGCCCCCTCCTCTTTGCCTGAGAGCTCTGTCCTGTACCAGGTGCCTTCTCTCCTGCCAGTCCCTGCCAGCCTGCAGCCTGGAGGGTGTAAACCCTAACAACCACCAGCCCTGGGGACAGACCCAGTGCGATGTGATTTCCCAGCAGGTCTGAGCACCAGACCCAAACATTGCTCACTTTCTTCCTGTGGGATCACTGTGCCACATCCTCCCCCACACTCCCTGGGCCCAAGTCCTCCTCAGCTCAGGGACCACTCCCTGCTCAGGCTCCATATGCTGAGACTGGGAGCAGGTCATCTGGGCCTTCTGGACTCTCACCTCTGTGCCCATGATATGGGCACAGTGCAGCCTCACAGACTGCTCAGAGGAGACCCAGCACGGGAAGACGCAGGCCGCTGCAAGGGAGATGCCAAGTGACCCTAGAGGGAGCGCACGGCACTTGCACAGGCCCACAAAGGTGCTGTCCCCTGGGGACCTGTGGGACCCATGGCTGCTGGGCTGGACCCCATCATTCCCTGGGTCATGAAGAAGCCGAGATCCATGGCTGTGCCCAAGAATCACCAGGACCCCCAGAACTCATGAGGCGCTGTCCCCAGAGGAGCTGTGGGACCCACGGTATTGGGCTGTCCCCTGAAGGAGCTGTGGGACCTGTGGCTGCTGGTCTGGCCCTGTCATGAAGAAGCTGAGATTCAGGCCATCCCCAAGAATCACCAGGACACACAGAACTCATGAGGGGCTGCCCCCAGAGGCCAGGACCCACAGCTGCTGGGCTGTCCCCTGGAGGATCTGCGGGACCCGAGGCTGCTGGGCTGGCCCCCCATCATTCCCTGGGTCATGAAGAAGCTGAGATCCCTGGCTGTGCCCAAGAATCACCAGGACATCTGGAAGTCACGAGCGGCTGCCCCCGTCTCCATCAGGGGGTGCTGCCTTGAGCAGAGCTGTCAGAGCAGATTCCTACTTCTGTCCCCTTGAGGGAAACTGTGGAGCCCAGCACTGCTTGCATGGGCACGCCAATGCCCCAGCCACCCCTGTGCACAGGAGGCCTGCCTGGGGGCACAAGTTCCTCTCTTTGTGGTCACTACATTTTGATCATTTTGGGTTCATTTGCAGCTGTGAACGGCTCCAGTTTTATGTCAGATGTTTATCTGTGTCAATGCTGAGCAACCATCTTTAAAAAGAACAATTGAGGGAAAATGTTTTCTCTCTGGTTATAAACAGATATTGCCTTTTGGGGCTGGGAGCAGCCCTGTAGCAGCCATGGAGCCAGAACAGGCGCTGGCCGTGTCTTCCCTCCCAGTCCTTACACCGCACCGCGGCCATGGGGCTTCAGGGTCAGGGTGCGCCGAGCCACCTCTCAGAACCCCCAGTGCCCTCACCAACAGAGGCCTTGGCCGTGACCACTAGCTCGGCCTCCAGGAGCGTGGAGTACTCTGGGCTATATAAGGTTCCTGCCTTTGTTTTAAATGGCTATTTCTGGGCACCTGGGGGGCTCAGTTGGTTAAGTGACAGCCTTCGGCTCAGGTCATAATCCTGGAGTCCCAGGTTCAAGTTCTCCCTCTGACCCTCTTCCCTCTCGTGCTCTCTGTCTCTCATTTCCTCTCTCTCAAATAAGTAAATAAAATCTTTAAAAAAAATAAATGGCTATTTCTGTGCTGGTGTTTGTGAAATGTGGGCACTCGCTCTGTCTGGATTCGCTCTGTCTGGATACACGTCCCCTTGGGATTCCTCAGTGCCCACCAGTGGGTTTGCATTTGTGCACTTTCTCTGGACCATCTGCGTGCACTTTGTCTTAGCAAGCACTTACTGAGCTCAGTCACCCAACAAGGGGCAGAGCATGAGAGCGAGAACTAAGATACAGGCTCCCTGCTCCTGGGCCCTCCAGGGATTCGTGATGGCCCCAACGTCCTGACTCACTTCCTTTGTATTGTGGTATAATGGACATACAGCTGATACCATGAAACGCGTTTCAGTGGCAATAAGTATATTCCCTGTTCTGCACCAGCTACCTCCATCCATCGCCACAATGTTTTCATCATCCCAAACTGAACCTTTAACCAGGAGACCCTAAGCCCCCATTCCCCTTCCCCAGCCCTGGCACCCAG